AGAGAGAGAGAGAGAGAGAGAGAGAGAGAGAGAGAGAGAGAGAGAGAATATACATTAACTTTCGCTCACTTTCAAAAAAATATTCTGAACACATTTGACTTGGTATTCCGAGTGTTCCTAGAAATCTGTGGTCTTCGAGAGAACACACACATGTCTCACCTTCAAGAGGCATATCTGCTGAGCAAGCGGAAGACTAACAGCACACATGTTGTCCGTCAGCTGAGTTATCGCCCATGGCTTCCCTCCCACAGAAAGCCGGTTGTCTCTGTCTCGACGAACGTAGATCGCCTTCACACACTGGTTCACCCAGTCAGTCACGACCACAGTGTTGTTCGGGCTCAAAATGATCAGATCTCTTAGTTTGGGAGCCTGCTCGTCTTCCCGAAACCTGCATCTGATCGTTCTTAGTGGCGTGATCCCTGGTTCTAAAGACTCGTTGAGATTCGTTCCCCTTTCCACACTGCTACTGCCGTTGTTGGTAACGTTCTGTGCAGCATTTCTGTTTTCTCTCTTGAAACGTACAAAAACAGCACCGTCTTCCCCAGGAAGCTCTTCAATGCTTTCAGAGTGCTGGGGTACAGGCGGAGGTGCAGCTCTTTCTTGCCTTTGAAGAAAAGTTATCGCCTTTTTGACTTCTGTTCTAGCAACCATTTTGTGAGGTACTCGAGGTGGCGGTTCTGGTTTTCTTATTACAGATGAAGGTACATTGGCTGGGTTTATTTCATTGTCTCTTACCGCCACCGTGGGAATTATCTCTCCCTGCATTTGCTGTTTTTTGTTCTTTACGCCCCGAAGCCTGTCTAGTATTGATGTCTTTTCTTCGCATATATGCCGGGTAGCTCCACTTTCTGTGTCCACTTCTTCTATGTTTACTAAAATGTCCCCCAGATTAAATTTAGGAGTATCTGAACGCTGGAAATTTAATCTAATATTTGCAAGACCTTTTAAGAATGTATGGTAGCTTTTAACATCGGAATCTTCCACATTCATCTTCATTTTCACTTTCTCCAAAATGTCCCCCGAAAGAAGTTCATAGTCTGAAATAGATCTTAGAGTCTCGGGTAAGGACTCCATGTTTTGCTTCAAAATGTCCAGCCTATCCTCAAATCTATACACATGCACAATGAACTTCTCTTGAACAGATTTATAATGTGTGTCGAGAACTTTAAGAAGTTCTTCCTCACTTTGAGTTACCAATTTTCTCAGCTCTTGTCCCCTGGCTTTTATAGCGGCTTCGGTTTCTAAACGTTGCCGTTCTATTTGATTTATACATTTTTCTCTTGATTTCTGTAATGACGAGGTATCCTTGAGCTTTGCTTTCATCCCACTGATCCAAATCTGTGTCGTGGCTCGTCTGTCTGAAGCCGCCTCATCAACAGGCACCACCTGTAAAGGAATAGAAACCCTTCGCTTTAATAGTCATTTCATGCTTAATGTGTCCCGCGCGCTTGTATGACCTTGTGCAGTTGTGAGCGCCGTAAAGCACTAACGAACAAATAAAAAAGACCCCCCCGCCCCCTCCAAAACAGCCATTTCTATCACCAACTTTAAAACAGTCGTTTTACCATCGGCATTTATAAAACAGTCGTTTCTACCATCATCATCATTATCATCGTTAAAACAGTCGTTTTGTCATCAACTTTAAACCAATCAATTTAAAAAAGTATTTTTTTCCATCACATTTATAAATCATCTCTACTATACTATTGACTTTAAAATTGTACTTTCTACCATCACCAATGCTATGGCTATCACCATCATTATACGGACGGAACTATGTTCTGTTATAAGGAGACAGCAATGTGTTTTGTCTTATGCAATGAAGAGTTTATTCTCTTTAGAGTGTGTCACTCACATACAATCTCAGCATGTATATGAGTGTGTGTTTGTGTGTGTGTGTGTGTGTGTGTGTGTGTGTGTGTGTGTGTGTGCGTGCGTGTGTGTGTGTATGTGTGTGTGTGTGTGTGTGTGTTTGTGTGTGTTTTGTTTATTTCTGTCTGTGTGTTTTCCGTTAAGAGAGAGAGAGAGGTGGATGAGGGAGAGGGAGGGGATTGGGGAGGGGGTGAGGAGAGAGAGAGAGAGAGACTCGAAAGGAAACTTATATCTACGACATTTTGTAAAGCTTATATTATCTATATTAATATGCTCTTGTTTTCCTCATCGCACCCCCTCCCTCTTTTTTAAAAGTATCGCTTCAACTCACGTATTTTTGTCATGTTTCTTACATTCTTCTTTGCCTTTAAATGTAGGGTCTGTGGCAGACTTTGACGATCATGGTATCCCACTCCTCCCTGTTGTCAGTCCTCCTGATCAGCTCAGTTTTTCTGATAATACCTTTACGAATATAATCTTACCTTAGCCCACTGGGAAGGGGTTTATGTCGAAATAACATAGTCTTTGTCTGGTAAGAGGCGTTGCTCTTCAACTTTAACGCAGCTAAAACCAAACAAAATCTGATCTCACACCATCTCACCTGACCACACCCTCTATGCGATATCCCTGCACACAAATGACAGATGACAGCAGCACAGTCCACACAAAACAAATCGTTCTCTTTGTCTTTGTGAACTTGACACGGGTGTTCAGGGCGAGAGGAAGAAATCCTCTGTGGCAGCTTGGCATTCTGAGACTCCACATAGCGGATGAGATTCTTGATGTAAAAATCAGTCTTCAGGAGGGAGGCCCAGTCAGACGGGGGTCTCTTTGGATTAGCCATTTTGATCAGTTCTCTGCAGGTCGGGCATTGAAAACCTCCTTGTTTTATCAGCTGTGCAGATTTTAGTCCAATAATGTAATTGTGAAGGCATTGCTCACAAAACCTGTGAAATTGAAAGTAGCCAAGAGTTTAGGGGTCCATTGGCCAGATATTTTATCAGTTGTCAATGAAATTATCGATTTTATTAATAAAAAGATGTTTTATTCATTTGAGTATTGTTTAATCAGAACCTAAAAATTCAACGATATTGAAAGCATATTCAAAATAACCAGATAGGTACTTTCAATTATGCTTATATACTTCATATCTATTTTTTAATGATCAACAATACGCCTTTCGGTTTACAAAATGTTATGATTTTCCTGTGTGTTAGACTATTATTTCAATATAAATGGTAGCCAGTATTGATATCATGTTGCGGTAGGCACTTTTATTATATTTTTAAAAAATTATTTCTTGGATGGTACTGCGTATTTTGTGAAACACGTTTCAAAAGATGTATAAATAAAGAGGACCTGGGTTGGGGTTTTTTTTTGTAGGGGGGTTGTTTTGTTTTGTTTTTTGTTGTTGTTGTTGTTTGGGGTTGTTTTTTTTTTGGGGGGGGGGGGTAGTAGCTAGACCCTTGAAAGATAAACAGGGCGACCACGTAAACACTTACGAACTGTCCTTTTTTTCATTTCCTGAACACGGCCAAACGACATGTGGAACATTGTTGCTGTTTTTCCTAGTAAAAACGCCATGTTTTGACAGGACTTATAATAATATGAGTTCTTTTTTTTCTTTGTCTTTAATCATTTTAGTTTACATTCCTTATTAGAACGCTTGACTCGGTTTGAAATTTTGTTAAAAGTAAAACTGTTTTTCAGCTTTCGTCTTTCCATTGTTCTTTACTTTCTTTTCGTTGGATTGTTGTTTCTTCATTGTTTGTAGTTTGGGTAGGACAGCCGGGGACAAAGGAAGGGGGGGTACATGATTAAAGCTTTATTTCCTCCTACTCTATTGCTCATAAAGACCTTTTTATGTCTGAAGGTTTGTAATGCTGTAGATAGCACATTTTGTGTGTTCAAGACTATCACAAAAGAATGTGACTTTATCGAACTGATTACGTCAGCATTCATTAACTATTGGTATGTGGGTCAACGTTAGAGTGATTGTGATGATTGTACAAACTTGAACGAATTTTTAGCAGGTAAACAATAAACTGTAGTAAATATATTTGTGATCCCAACCAGAAGGCAGAAAAATTCAATAAGATATCTTACGGCGTCTGGAAGAAGGACTCGAACCAGCATGTTTTGCGTGCAACGAGAAGAGCTTGTTTTGTTTTAAAAAATTTAAATCTCTTCTCTTCTTCTTTTTTTCTTTTCTTTTTTTTTGTAAGTGTTTTATGGCGCTCGCAACTGCATAAGGCCGTACGAGCGCGCGAGACACATCAAACACTTTCAGTTGGAAGGAAATTTTTAATTTTGCACGGGTGGCGGCCGTAGCCAACTCTTATCGATTTTAGACCACCAAGGGATCTTTAACATGTGCAACTTGCACACGGGACCTCAGAGATATTTCGCTTTTGTCCGAAAAGGGTAGGTGTAGATCTTTCCTACCAGAAGATCAGGGGTGTGTCTGAAAGACAGCAGTAAGAATGAGCCAAAGAGTAGCAGTAGAAAGGCTGCATAAAGAGCCAGGAGCCGAGAGGAGGGGGCAAAGAAGATGAGGGGTGGGGGCAGAGAGTGGAGACGAAAGCAGATGACAGAACATTGCTAGAGAGCAGGAAATGAGGTGAAATGGGACAATTTTAGAGGAGAAAGAAAATGTTTTAATCGCTTCCCGGATTCGAACCCGGGACTTTTGAATGAGAGGCGAACACCTTAACCTCTAGGCCACGAGAGCCCCTATGTTTTAAGTACCACGGAGGTTTACATATTTTCTCTAATGAGGGAATTCTATTTTGGCTTGAATACATGACTCACAAAACCTACATATTATTTTACACGATAACGTTTAAAACATGAAATATTAACCCTGCCACTAATTATTCCCTACTCCATTTTACTGTTTATTAGGATGATAAGATAGGCCTGATTTAGGGTTAATAAAAGTCCTCGTTATCATTGTTCCTGATTATCCTCAGTCACGTAATCTGTAGACAAAAGAACATAAAATGACAAACAATGCCCCCAGCTTTTTCAATGCGCTTTAAAGTTTCAAACTGTTGAATCAGAAACATGCTTTGGGTGAAATATCAACTTACAACTACTGTTGTGTGTGCATGCACGTGTGTATAGGGGGGGGGGGTGCTTAGCGAAGTTAGCGAAGGTCGACAAACAACGTTCGTCGTAAGAAGAACATCTAGATATAGTTTTATGTAAATAATTCAATCTGTTATCGCCAATGTAAATGATTTAACTAAAGTTAGTGCATGCACCACGGCTACATTCAATATCGAATTTTGTTGATAGCAACGAGTTCTCAGAGATCTTTGGTTTCTGCCATCTCAGTGATCATATCTAATCATTCGCATCGAATCATCTAGCCTTTTAAACTCACCGATGTAAGCAGCTCAAGGTCTTAGGCTCTTTAAACACATCATAACATATATAGCAGGTTAGGAATTCTTCTTCCATATTGCCAGAAGATGATGCCATGGTGTATTTCACTCTTTTGTTGTTGTTTTTTGTTGCTGAGTTTCTTCTTTTTTTTCAAAGAAACCCAGAAGACCTGCTGAAGAGAGGAATTATAACATAAATGACCGAGAAATTCATGTAGAAAGTCTGGTTTGAACTTGGCTTAGGGTTCACCTATTGTTAATAAAGAACTGAAAAAGGTCGATAAAAATTCCAACTGCATTCATTATCTTAAAGCAAGAGAGGGCTCTAGAATTTACCTTAGTTGCAGAGCATTGTGCGTTTTCACAAAGAACCACAGATGAAAGCTGAAATCTTTACAATTAACAGAGTGCAACATCAGAGCTGACAAAATGTAGTTTCCAAAATAATACACAGCTGTTTTTGTTATGTAGTTTTGTTGTCGTTGTTGCTGTTGGTATTGTTGTTGTTGGTGGTGGTGGTGGTATTATTGCTGTGGCTACTATTGCTGCTGGTGCTACTGTTGCTGTTGGTTGTTGTTATATTGCTGCTATCATTGGTGCTATCAATTGCTCACGCAATGATGATGATGATGATGATGATGATGATGATGATGATGATGATGATGATGATGTTATCATATTCTTTAAGTTCTTTAAAAGCAACAGTATTACAAACTGGCGGTTACGTTATGAGACTTGAAAATGATGCAAGAATTTAGTCACAGTTAAAGCAAATCAACGAAAAAAGAAACATAACTTATTAGTCAAACCAGGGCTTTTCAACAAAGGCGATATCGCCCGCTAGTGAGTGTATTGGTAAATTGTTAGTGGGTGGTGGGAGTCACCAGGATAGAGAGGGGTATTATTTAATTACCCTTTTGTTAATAGAAGAAGAAGGGCGTTACAAATACGTTAGTCTCTTAAAGGTGGCAGAAGTGGGCGCAGGCTGTAAAAGAATGAAACGCACTGAGCTTTACTGAAAAATCAGGTGTGGATCATTAGTAATTAATTATCTTGTGCGAACTACACCACACTATAATAACTTACTTACGTAAAGGTCCCTTGAACCTCCAGTTTTAAGGAGAGAAATCTCTCTTTTTCTCACAGAAGAGACGGGAAAATCTACCCGGTTTCGAATTATACCAACACAAACACAAAAACTTCAGGTGTTGAAGCCTCCATCTATCATCACTCGCAGAAAGTACGAAAAAATGTATTCGGTTTCAACTTATCCAAACTTGAAAAGCGAATGTATTAAGCGTTAAAGCCTTTATCTATCCTAACAATACTGAAATCAAGCCTTGGTCGTGATTAACTGTCACTGATTTTGTGTGTCATCGTTTTGAAGACAGATAGGGAACGTAATGGGGCTACTGGTACGAGATAAAGATGGAAAGCATGGCGGATCTTTGTAGTGTGATCGAAAGTTAGGATGATGCATGATCATGTGACAACTATTGTTCAATTTAAGAACAGCCAACTTATTCTGATATGTGACACTTGAAAATGCAGTTCTGTGTGTAACTGTAGGTGCGTGCGCGCGCGCGTATACGTGTGTGTATTTGAGTGTGTGTGTGTGTGTGTGTGTGTGTGTGTGTGTGTGTGTGTGTGCTGACCTGCTGTAGGTGTGTGAGTGAGTACTGACCTGCTGTAGGTGTGTGAGGGAACAGTGAGCACACAAGAACTCGTCACAGTTGAT